TATATATATATAGCATAATATATATCGATAGATACATTACTGTGTGTTTTAGGTTTAATTTATTTGAACAATATTGTTTTTGTAAATAATATGGAAATTTACGAAAGCCTATTAGGGCCACTGAAATATATATTTTTTTGTCGTACATATATTGTCTCAGACATATACAACGATTGAGGGCAGGCAATCGCATTTTTACTCAGGGAGCAATCCCATGATACATCGGGCGTTGCGCCTTCTTTGTGAACATACTAGCTAACAGTTTAATAGTCGATTAATACACCTATGTTTTGACGCTTACCAAGGGAACGAAGAAAACACCAGGTTGTATTTTCAGAATTTTCTTTTTCAAAAATGCTCAAAATTGGCGAATTATGCATGATCGTAGTCATGAATACCCAGCCTCGGTAACCCGTTTTCGCATTGAGCAACATATGCTTAACAAATTATTTCTAAATTCTGTAGCTGAGTCGGCTTTCCAACTTATACGTTCAATCATACTATATCAATCGCATAAAACATAGTTCCCAAATAATTCGTAGTTTTTCTCATTTAAGGCCCTCCAGGTTAGATGCGTCTGACTAGTTGTTATCAGTATTACGAGCCGACAATATATTTCCAACTTCCAATGTAAATTTCCAACTATTTCATACCAGTAGTGCAGTGCTTGTCGTGTCGGGAAATCGAGTGTTTATTCTTTGTGAGTGGGTGTTGTACATAAGCTTATTCCTGTTTTAGAGTATATGTGACCCAAGACCACGAAAGGGCTGTAAACTCGCATCACCAGGTTTCGAGAAAAAGGGCTAAATATACAGTATAACATGTAATTTGAGCAAAATGTGATTATGTCATAAATATAAAGTATTACCTTTTATCTTACTATTTTTGAAGTTTAGATTCAATATTTCAACTCTAACCCTAAAATTTTGTAATTTTATGAAGAAACGAATTTAAATTCACCAACTTTCAAGCCGCCATACGTCGCTTCCAAACAACTTATTCACTGCACAAAATTCAGGCCCCAAAATAGATAAATGAAAACTATCAGACATAATAATACGTTTATTAGTACTCGTATGCTATGTATGTGATTTCAGAATAAACAAACAGTACACTATAAAATAATGGTCGGTTCTTTGTAGTGAAGTAAATCTAAAACGTATTTATGAAGTCATTCAAAATCGTGTACAAAATAGTTGAACAAACTTAAAGTGTATACATAAATGAAGGAAATAGCCTTGAATTAATTCAAATAATACTAAACTGTTTCATGACTTGTTGAAAAAGATTTGGACAACAATCCTCTTGCCAACTGGCAGTGAAGCGGATCAAAATAGTCAAACAACTTTAAAGAATCAAACAATAACGTGCGTGTCGACATTACAATTACTTTCGAAATGGTTTTAGAAAGTAATTTTCTAGAGCATAGCACCATGGTACGGATTATCTTTATTGAATGAAGAAAATAACCTTGTTTATTCAAAAGATTAAAAACCCATTTTGATAGCGTACGAGTTTACAGCCCTTTTGTGGTTTTGGGTCACCCCACTAAAAACGTGCTTTTTGTAACTTGCGATAAAAACGATTGTATACGTATAGTCTGATATATCTTCGGTGTGTTAAACAAAATTAAGAGACATCAAGTTTAGCTTCAAAAAAGAGAAATTAACATGTTTTGCTAGCCACTAGACTTGCCACAAGTCTCTTATTGCTGCGAAGCAGCCAATTCATATTCTTGACAGCAATTTGACCTCTGAAATGTCATTGTTTGTCAAAAAACTATCGCCTAAGACAACTGAAAAGCGGAGTTTCCTTCTTTCGTTCTGCCGGGTAAAATCAATTACTTTAGGCGACGTTTGTAGACTAACCTACTCGTACCAACGTTGGCA